GTGCCATTTACGTGACAGAACATGGCACTCAGCAGGGTTCTCCATGACCCCCCCCCCATTTTAGAGTAGCTGTCTCCCCACCTACCCGCTCCACCTTTGGGGAACATGTCAAGAAAGCGGAGGTATATCATCTAAATGTCGTGGACTTGACAGAAGACTGATCCGTCTTTGGTAAAATACATTTCATCCAGGCAGTGTAGCAAATAAAAACAATTAGGGAGGCAGTTTTTTTTTTTCAATTAGTAATTGATACATAAAGTTTGATTTTCAGGTGAAATGAACCCAGATTAGAATGCATGCAGAGATCACTAGCCTGTGCCAACATTAGTAAATAAAAAGCATACTATTGCTGTTCCAAAGCGAAGTGTGCAGCCGTCTGCATGTGTACAGAATACCATCTATATGCAAGAGAAAGCAGGAGGCAGTTCCAACTATTTAGGCTTTTATTTAGCTCTTAATAGCCTTCGTAGTATGCGTTACATCATAGGTAACGTAAACACTCCATCGAAGTCTTTCAAATGATCTAGTTTATAGTCTTTTTTATACATCCTCTTTAGAAACTCTGGAAGGTCTATTTAAAAAATTGAGTAAATAAAATGCAGCATAAATGCAAACCGGCTCCTTCAACAAAATAAAACAAGTATTGAAGATTATGATGATTTTAACATGCGAGTGTTTCAAAATGAAACGAAACAAGTGCCAGTTATTGCTCACCTCTGTCAGCTACCTCCTGAAAGGCTTAGAATGAGGTGATCAGTGGTCATTGTTGACACACCACAATGACGAAATGCGTCCTCTGCATTTAACCCATATGTGACATCATGATAATTCAGCAACCAGGGAGCAGTGCTTGGGGGCGGTACCTTGCTCAGGGTACCTCAGGTGTTGCCTTACTGGTTGGGGATTCGAACCAGCAATCTTTCAATTATAAGTGCACTACCCTAACCATTAAGCCACCGCTGCCCACATCAAGCCAAGTTACGTTTGATGGTAGCTGTGTTGTATGCAACATTGCGACTGAATTGGCATTGCGTCATTCTACATCTCCTTTCGCATTTGCCAATATGCCGTGAAAATTCAACACGCTGCCCAATCCTAGGCAACCGTAAAAGCTGTTGATTGATGGGTGGTGAAGCCATTGGTGAGCGAATCGTCTGAAGCCACTAGAAGCGATTGGTTTACAGATGAATGTCTTATACAACATTAAAATTAAACCAACCAGATTTCAGCAACGTTGCATGTTTTGTGTAGCATCAATGACATAAACATATTATGTCATTAAATATTATGAAGTGGGTTTGTATAATACGGTCGTGCATCGCTTGAGAAATGTATCGTCAGGCGATTTTGTCATTGTGTTTCCGTACACAAACCTAGGCAATAGCATGTAGCCTAAATAATGATAAAAAGAACATAAGCATATTTAAAAATCTATGACATGGCTACATTTTTTGTGGACTCTGATACCTAATTATCATTTATGTGATACAGTGTCATTTACTTAGCAAAAGCTTTTATCTAAAGCGACATAGAGTTGAGGCAGTAGGGTCAGCCAGTCCCTGGAGCTATTGGGGTTAAGGGCCTTGTGGCATCCTTCTGCCAGCCATGGGATTTGACCCAACAACCTTCTGATCACAGGCACAGTCTTAACCCAGTGAGCAACACAATTCGGCGTGGTCCACTAAAGCCGTCCTTTCAGCAATGACCTCGGCCTGTTTGTACACACTAGCCCCTCCGACCGGGTCGGCCACTTAAGCAGTGCTGGTGAATATTCAGCTGTTTGCAGCGGCTTCTAATTAGCCACCTGCCCCCGGCCAGCAGGGACACCCCAACTCACCCTTTTATTGTCCATTGTCATTAAGAAAATTGAAAAAAAAAACTGCCTCCCTAATTGTTTTAAAAGTGTTTGTTTCCCTCACTGTTCCCATCTTATTTCCCACTCGGATAGTGAGACCTGCTTTCCAAATTCCGGCCCTGGGATTTAGCGGCCGGGCTTGAGATCCGCTTCATAGCGGCGTACCGGTCCCTGCTGGATGTGCTGTCAGGTGGGGATTGAGGTCATGCTGACAGTCATTAACACTAATTAATTTACATTACAAAGCGTCCCAGACAAAAAACAAAAACACTTTGTAGCACCCTGTGGCCAGATGGTTGCTGGGTTTGTCCCTCGCTGACGTTTTCACACTAAACCCGGGGCTGGTGGTGATGATACTCCACCCGTCGCACACGCAGCCTGAGGGGGAAACGCAAATCTCCGTGTCACGGGGCAGGGCGGACATCAGAGCCGAGCTGCTCATTTGCATTGTAATGCGAATGAACCGCAGCAATAACACTTCCTTGGGCTTCTCCACAGTCGGGCTTATGTCGTCATAGTTCTGGGTATATATCCGGGCTCCTTGTGTGTGGCCTTGTGTCTTGCCCGTGCACGCGTGGTTCACCAGGTAAATGTGACCCTGTGCTATTTATAGTCAGGCAAAGTGTGGCCGACCGTGTCCCATCCTGACCCCAACTCTGAAGCTGAAGTCGAGGCCGGGATGTCTTTCTAGGAAGTCGTGCCTTCATTTCCTGGGCAGGGGCAGCCAGTAGCCCACGTTTCCGTGGTGACGGACCACAGTGGGTGGGCGGGTCTGAGCAGAAGTGGCTGTTGACCTGCCTCTGTGTTGGAACAGCAGAGTAGCACCTCACCCTAATTTACCTTACCTTAGTTAGCTGGGCTAACTTAAGCTAGAAGTCATGATTGTCCAATAGGAATACTCCTTATATGAACTTATTTTGTCCAGTAGGAATGCTCCTTACCAAAACTTATTTTTCCCAATAGTGCTCCTTGCTGAAACTTATTTTATCCAATAGGAATACTCCTTACTTAAACTCTTTTTGGACAATCATGACTACTAGCTTAAGTTAACCCAGCTAACTGAGAAATCTTGCTTTGTGGAACACTCCCCAGTTCTGCTGACTGTTCGCATAACAATACACATACAAACAGGATGTAGAAACTATTGTGCATTATATCTTTCAGTCATTTAATCGGTCCCAAATGGTATAAAGACATTCCTTTAAAACAATTTTTAATAAGGACATATGCCACCTTGTGGTGGAACTGAGGAACTACAAATTTAATGGTGGCCTGTGGTCACAGGCCTGAATTAACCTGGAAGTAACTGAAGTTCCAGAACGTACTCTGGCCACTGGATATGTCTTCGAGAAAATTTCTGTGGACTTAATGAGTTTTGAAAATTCAACGAAAGTTCTTCACTGGATTACAAGAGGGCTGAGTGAGTTTTAGTTCCCATTAATGTAATGAGGAAGGTTGACGTTAATAATAATAATGACACTGTATTGATCCCCGTGGGGAAATTCTCTTTTGACCAACCCCATCTTGCTCTCACGGCACACAGATATAAGTGAGAGCGAGCTTGGCAGGGAAAGACAGCCAACTGCAGCAGCACCCATGGAACTGGGGGGGTTAAGGGTCTCCCTCAGGGGCTCACAGACATGGCTATTTTGTTGAGGCCGGGCTTGAACCAGCAACCTTCCGATCACAGCCACAGACGCTGAGCCCTCCGAGTCGCATGCTGCCCCCCCAAGGATGTTACTGGTCTTTCCTCAGCAGCAACAGCAAATGGACTGATTGGAAATTTAGCTCTCTTGCGTTGTTGGTAATCAAAGTAAGAGTTAGAAGGCAAACTGATTTATCTCCGCTGTTATTGTGTTTCGTTGTACTCAGATCTGAACATGGAGTACAACCCTTCAGACCACCCACGGGCCAGCACCCTGTTTCTCAGCAAGTCACAGACGGACGGTGAGTACGTCACGCTTTATGAACATTTCAGGATCCCCCCCACAGCTCCATGAAACCACCAAACCTGTTCTATGCAAAGTGGACATGGGGGGGGGAGGGGGGGGGACCAGAAACACAGACCGTGTAGGTAGTCACTCGCAGTCTGTAAATAACTGACTGGGTGTCTGCATGGTCAGGGTGGTGCGACCTACCGTACACCGGCATGCTGAACCGAATTCACTGCTCACAAGGATCTGAGCTAAGCCGTGACGTTGACATTCTTATATTCCCTGGAGACCAAACTGGTGAGGTGGGTTTACTTCGTGTCATGGCTGTGACTAACGAACGACATAGCATTAAGAGGGTGTCGAGAAACTCACCTCTGAACTCAACAGGATGTAGTCCGATGCCCTGGACCATGTCTTTCTGATCTGTTCCCTGATTGGTCAGTTATTACTCAGGTGATTCAGGTCGTACAATGGCCTTCTGGGAAATGTAGTGCCATAAATAGTAACTTTCACCCCAGCAGGGTCCTGTATCACGAAGCAACGTTTGTTGGATTTGTTGGTTGGCTAGATAACTTCTTTGATTTAAGGTACCCCAGTTTAAATGGACTTTTTCTTCGTTTACTTACATTTAGCCCAGATTATTTTACAGTTATCTGACTAAGCAAGAAATCCTGCTTCGCGATACAGACCCCAAACCTAGCAAAACTAACATGATTGTACTCTTGTTACAGTGCGGGAAAAACGAAAAAGTCTCTTCATGAATCACGTAAGTGTAAGATTGGATTTAGCCCTACAGTATTTCATCACTAACATATTTACCTGTTCTGTTAATTTTAATAGTTTGAGTTATTTCAAACTATTGATTTGTGTCTTTTATTTATAGTACTTTTTGATTAATAGTATTTTATTTATTATAGAGTTTATTTATGGTCTTCTCACTTAAATTATAGTAATAATGATAGATTATCTCTCCAGAAGGTTGCATTTTTCAAAACGCTACATATCTGACATTTAAATGTAAAAATATATATATATATATGTTCTGAACTGTAAATTTTTAATATCCTTTATTGTTTTGCCAGTTAGCACATATTTTGGAAGCTAAGGTAATGTACGACAGATGACATTTACTTTTTCATTTGTGTGACTCATAATTATATCATTTTACATCTTGATGATCCACAACAGCGTTTCTCAGTCGAGCCCTTGGGGACCCCCAGATGGCTCACGTTTTCGCTCCCTCCCACCTCCCCGCCAGGCACTCTGCATCTTTGCTCCTTCCCAGCTCCTGGTAGATCAAAAACATGGACTGTCTGGGAGTCCCCAAGGACCAGGTTGAGAAGCTCTGATCTGCAAGAAAGAGTTTGAGTAATGGGTGGGACCATGGGGGGGGGGTTTGTGACGGCCCACGTGACTGGAACCTTGTTCCCAGATGCTTGTCACTGCAGAACTTAAAGGGCTCGTTTGTAAACCAAACTCTCACTTATCCCCCTGTCACTCCAATAGACTGAAAATTAAAAACAGTAACACCCCCCCCCCCACCTCCAAATGCTCCTTTCTTACATCTACATCCTTCGTCATTTGTGCCGGACCATGAGCTGGCGGGGGTTGGAAAGCTCTGTATCAGTAATGAAGCTATCCCTGAGACATTCCATTGGAGCCCTGAGACGTGTTTGTACCTCACAGCATGCCATCACTGGGGGGGCAGGGAGGGGGCTTATAATCCCTAAAGGGCAATGAAATACAGAGTCCAGAATTTGAGAGTACCAGAAGCTGGTCCACCTCGCTTCCCGTGACGAGCGGCGAGAGGTTTATCGGTTCTGATCAAAGTGGGCCGGACCCTGGCTGAGCCGGATCCGAAGGTTACGTGCCTCTCTGTCGTTCCAGCACGGCCGAGCGAGGCGAAAGTACAGCTCCTGCTCCACCATATTCCTGGATGACAACACCGTCAGTCAGCCCAACCTGAAACACACTATTAAATGGTGAGCGACGTGCATTCCTCAACGTGGATCACCGTGACCTCATTACTTCTGTTTAGTTTTGATTATTTAGAAAAAAAATTGTACTGTTTGACCAGGGTTAAGAACACTGACAGTGTTCATGCGTTTGTGTGGAGCCCCCTCTTGGCCACAAGCAGTTACTACACTAGATGAGGCTGACGGCCCGGACGTTACTTTTTGAATGCGGCCTGACAAAGGACAGATGCTCCCTGATTAACTGACTGAAAAGAAAGTAAACACTGACCGTCCTCACTAATGGGCTTGTCTCTTTACAGCGTAGCGCTGGCGATTTATTACCATATAAAGAACAGGTAAGATGGCCGCCCCCCCCCGCTCCTCCGAAGGCAGTGTTTTGGAAATTTCCATGGCATCACATCAGCGTTTTTCTTTTTCCTTTCCCAGAGATACCGACGACAGGACGCTGCTAGACATCTTTGACGAGAAACTGCACCCCCTCTCGGTAACTATCCCCCCCCCCCCCCCTATCCGCGGATCGGTGCCGCTTAATCGGAGTGTACTGCGCTCACGTGGATCTCCGCTTGCAGAAGTCGGAAGTGCCGTCGGACTACGACAAGAATGACCCGGAGCAGAAGCAGATTTACCGTTTCGTGCGGACCCTCTTCAGCGCGGCTCAGCTGACGGCAGAATGCGCCATCGTCACCCTGGTGAGCGGGCGGGGGTGGCTTAGTTTTACTGTTATATCTTCATTTAGTTTGTGCCAAGCGTAGTTCTGGGCCAATTAACACAAAAGAGAACTGAAAACACAAATAAACTGCTCCGATCGTCATGTCTGGAATTAAAACTGCTATAAATTAAACAATGTAGTGTTTTATTTCTTCTTGTCAGTGTTTACAGACTTAATTTTATGTTATTTTAAAGAAAGCCTCCCTCTGTAATGGCCAGTAATGTTATTTTCCCTCCATTCATCATTTTGATTATACAACGTTGTATTTAAATAGCCTCGGACCTCATTCCATGGCTCTTATCACAAGTGACTGCGTTAACTTCAACCACTAGGGGGCGATTGTGCCATTTTGCGTGCATCTATGTCAACTTCCCTGTGGATGTTCCACTCTCCCATCCACAATTCACTCTATATATCTTAAAAACCATCAGTATTACTGGTGAGTGTAAGGTTGTGTACCAAGCAATGGAGAAACACCTTGTAACAGTATGATTGGTCCAGATAAGGACATCTTCTATGATGCTGACTCACTGAGAAGCAAAAGCAGATGGGAAAGTCTGGTGTGTCCTGAGCAAGTACATAGTAACTCACCCAGTCAAACAATATTTACCATCAGAATATGTACAGATAAGGGTTAGGGTTAGGGTTAGGGTTCAATCAATCAATCAAACTTAATATATACAGCTGCTTTCAAACAATTTCAAGCAATTCAAAGCGCATGCAGGTGCAAATATTGTTATTAAAAATTAATTAAAAAAACAAATTTATATATAATAAAAAGAAGAAATAATAAAAAAACAAATAAAGGATCAAATAATAAATAAATAAATCAGATACCTAGCTGGACGGCGAGATGAACGCCGCTTCAGCTCCCAACCCGCTCCTCAGGGGCACCTCAGCCGTTCCATGTTGTTAAGTTTTACCACCATGTCACATGATTAATTAACTTAATTGGTTAATTAACTTGATGTGTTGATTAGCCAAACAAGGTGGAGTAGTGTTCAAGTAAACAAATGCTTGGGTACAGGGGTGTAGGGACCAGGAGAGACAAAGGGGACGTGTACCCCTCAATATTTAATTTGACTTCACCCCCCCCCCCTGCCCCCAGAACAGACTTTGTTATTTTAATTATTAAGTTGTGTCCCATCCAGTATAAAACTGTCTGTTACGCACTTGCATAGGTATGTTGGAAAGTTACCGCAAATGCTGGGGTGAAATCGCTAAGCTGACGCACTTTGGCATAATATTGTACTTTTAGCAGCACAGACATAATTTAAACATCATTTCCATGGTGGCGTCAGACTTCTGCACTATGAGACTGGTCTTGGTGCCTTAGACTCACTGAACCTCCTCCTTCACCAAGTGGTGACATTCTGCTTGAAGGAGAAGCACCCAGCTCTTTGTTCGAGTCTGTGGAGACCAGAGTTGGGTAATTCAGGTCCAGAGAGTAAAAAGTGCAGACCGGGATTTTGTTTCAACCAACCAGTTGAGTGACTCTGTGACTGTGACTCTTTATACCAACTCAAAATCCCGGTCTGGAGCTTTACTCTCAGGACCTGAATTACCTGAATTATTGCAGTGGCAGTGAGATCCCCGTTTCCCCCCCCCCCCTCGGCCCAGGTCTACCTGGAGAGGTTGCTGACGTACGCCGAGATGGACATCTGCCCCGGAAGCTGGAAGCGCATCGTGCTGGGGGCCATACTGCTGGCCTCCAAAGTGTGGGACGACCAGGCCGTGTGGAACGTAGACTACTGCCAGATCCTGAAGGACATCACCGTGGAGGACATGTGGGTCCCCCCCCCCCAACCCTAACCCTAACCCTAACCCCAACCCTAACCCCATGAAGCTCGGCTGAAGGAGATCACTCCACAGACCCCTCATTGGATAACGTTCCGTCGCCGTGACGTTTTCCAACTCTGGGTTACCGTGATTTTCACCACATAAGGGCACGCCGGTGTTTATCCGGTGTCCGCAGCTGGTGTAGGTCACATGACTCTCGGTTCAGCAGGACCGGATCTTTTCTGTCATCATCCCTCATTTTCTCCTATATTTGTTGATTATTTGATAGGAAGAGATACATTCTGCTTTAATAACAAAAACGTCAAAAGAAAAAGTTAAACATGATTCAAATTAGGAATCTGGCTTTACTCTGTGTCATGGAGACAGGTGTGTCTTAAAATGGCGCGATATTGGAATTCACACCTCACCGAAATATCGGGCCGATCCAGTCCAGCGTGCGAGCTTGGGAGACGTGCCACATGATCAAACTCGTTTCCGGGGGGGGGGGGGGGGGGGGGGGGGAGTAGTGACAAGGCGTTCAGTTGACCCATGCTGGGATCCAAATTTAGCTGGCCTGTCTCCCACTGGAACCCCACACCGAGTTCAGAGGTATACTCAAGGTTCCTGTCCGCTGGTTTTCAAACCACGTCGAAAAGCACGTCATGCTTCTTGGTGTGCTTATACCTGCATTAGAAGGCAGTGAGCCGCAGCCTTTAGCGACATCTCACATTTAACGTATTAATATCTAAAAGCCATCGTCAGTTTGCTTCACCAGACGATTCCTCACTTGTTTCTCTGGTAACGTCTCGCCAGGAACGAACTGGAGCGGCAGTTTCTGGAGCTGCTGCAGTTCAACATCAACGTCCCGTCCAGCGTCTACGCCAAGTATTACTTTGACCTGCGCTCGCTGTCCGAGGCCAACAACCTGGGCTTCCCCTTGGAGCCGCTCAGTCGGGACAGGGCCCAGAAGCTGGAGGTGAGCCAATCCGCCGTCACCTTGCTCCACCGTCTGCTGTCATTGGTCATTCTCTTGTCAGCTTCCTAAGGGGCCGTGTTTCCCAAAATCAACTGAATGGTTCCAACTGTGTAAGTTGTTAATGGGAGGTTTCGGAACACAAACCCCGGCACGGCTGTCACCGTGACAACCTTCTATGGGTTTTCACGCTCCCAGTTTGGGATATCCATGTATTTGAAGGGAACTTAAACTAAGATCCTGACCAATCCCAGACTTCTTATTGGTGGGAAGTGTGTAACATGTGGCGGTCAGACGTGAGACATGCATGCGCAAATGTCACGTGACCAGTCATGTGACTGGATTATTATCTGTTTATCATTCCTAAGTGCGGCGCTGTTCGCACGTCCTCCTGGTGCCCTTGAGCCCTGTAATTATACGCCCTCATGCTATCTTTGCTGCCTCAGTTGCTGCGTGTGTCTGCAGCCGGAGAAATGTCTGCAATGTCCACATGCCAAGGTCTGTGGATTCTGGATGAATGAGGGGTCCATAGGTCAGGATCTCATTTAAGACCCGGGGGGGTCAAAGCCGACTGTGAGGCACAAACACGCTGCACATGGCACTCATTAACCTGCCAAAGCCTTTAAGCTAGTCGCCCCTTCCCAAGTTACAGACTTTTATTGTCATGTCAATGCAGTTTTCACTTCCATGTTTCATTTAGATAATAACCAGTTTTGGTACATAATACAGTAAATAATTTAACACAACAATAACAATGGCAGATTGATGCATGTAAATAATAATACTAAATAACGCCACTATAAACAAACACTCAGCATATACGTGGCAGGATCTGGGAACGCGATTAATAAAATTTAACATCTTGGATCATTTTTGTAAAAATGTCGTACTCTTGTATGGGTGTGAAACTCGGACTTTAAGAAGTGGAGATATTAAAAGGCCGGAAGCTTTTGAGATGTGGGTTCGGCGTGGATTAGAAAAAGGAAGTTGGCCGGATGGGAGAACAGATGAGGAAGCGTGAGGTATGGCAGGAGAGGGAAGGGCGTCGGATCGACGGAATGAAGGAGAGGCAGAGGACGTGGGTGGGACAGATTTTGAGGGGGGAGGGATTGCTGAAGGACGGAAGAATGTTGGGAGAAAGACAAAGAGGGAGGCAGAGGAAAGTTATTGGACGAAATTAAGGAAGGGGCCAGTTATCGGGATGGGAAAGAAATGGTGTTGGTTAGTACATTTTAGAGGGACAACTCTGGACCAATAACTCTGGAGGGTAGAATATGATGATTGACTCTGACTGATACGTTTGTCATTGGTAGGTGTGTCTACCAGATACTTTAGTGTCAAATGTAAGTGACCTAAACCTGCCCACTGTGTGTCATTAACGCTCTTTTGTCATTTTATCGCTATTTCATTAGGCGATATCCCGCCTGAGTGATGATAAGTACAGAGACTCTCGCAAAGCAACAAAGAAGAGGTCTATGAGCGCAGACCAGCTCAGCGTCGTCCGATGGGCCCCCGCCATCATATCCTAACAGTGCCAAGATGGGGGGGGGGGCTGTCCCCCTTCCACCACGAAGCCACCGGACCCATACGACCTGCCCAGGTCACCTTTTTCAAAGTCTGGGGTCGATGCCTCCACAGTGCCTCTGTTTGGTCCCACCTGGAATCTTACTGGGATCTTACCGGGATCTTATTGGGACTTACAACGATCCTGGGGGAGACAAGACACTGAAGAGAAGTGGGATCATTGTGTGTTTCTTTCTGGCTCTGTTTCTTACACCCCCCCCCCCTCCCTGGGTCGCCATGTCTTGCCGTTACCGTGAGTGAATGCAAATTGGGCAAAGAATGCTACCAACGATGAAGCAATGAATAGGGTTGCAGTGTCTGGTCGGGTCCCGTGAGTTTCGATTGGCTCGTCTGAGCCAGTTCCCCTCATAAGCACAGGAAGGGGCGGGTCTTTCCAGGTGTCCCAGTGCTTGTGTTCCCCCCCTGCCTTCTTTTAAATAACAAAAGAAACAAAGGTCTATTTTAGTCTCCGATGCCATTTTTCAAACTGAATTGTTCCTGTTTAATATGAAGCGGTCTAAGCATTTCAAGGTGCTTTCAAAATCTTTTTCCTATAGCTTTTTAGTTAATCCCCTTTAAGTTATGAATATTTGATCCCAGTGAGGTGATTGGACGTTCTTGTCAGGTAATGGCCACTATCTGGAGAACCTTCGGACTTTTATTCCTGTTTCCATGGTAAGGTTCACCAGGGAGACCCTCCATTAAGTGCCCCTGACAGAGACTACAATGCCAGTCTAGGGTGACTTTCTTTGTGGACCATAATGCACTTCTGTGTGTGAGTGTGGCGACATCCCTCATCGAACCAGTAGACACATGTATCTCCAGCCAGTTACCTACTTTACCCTCCCACATTCCTTACATTCCTGTTTCACCAACAGATGTGTGTATTTGCGGTCATGTGTCCTGATAACCGCAGACAGGTTCCATTATGGCTAAAAAGGAAAGGAAATGTGCCAAAATTTCATATCATCAGTTTATTTCTCTGTTTTCATTCTTTTATTGCAGTTTGAGGTTAGGGATCATGGACTGTGTGAAAATTAGGTTCATAACAGCTGCCTGTGCCCATTTCACATGCTTACGGAGTATCACCGTTACCATGGCAATGTCAAACACTGCCTTCCTCGCCGTCCACTCCCCCGTCGGAAGAAAGTCCACTGTAATCTGTGACCCAGAACCCAACCTGGAATCTCCATGTGTTTAATTATGGATGGAAAAGCAGGAGTTAAACTGTGTCGAAATGGGCAGGACAGTCACCCCCAGAATATGTGGAGCCTCAAGAAGCAGAGACCTGAGTTGGGTTGTAGTAGCAACTGTTTTGAAGCCACTGAAATGCCTGTAGGGGTTTGCCGTCCACATTAAACAGGAAAGCGATGAAGGGAAAGCAACTGAGGTTTGAGCCAATCATTGTGCATATTGCTGATCATGTGACCGTAGCGTCAGCCGTAGCGCTTACACGCTCCAAAAACAGACTGTAATGCCGTTTACTGGTGAAGTTCTTAAGTTCTGAACCAGTTTAAGGACAAATGCGGACAGGTGATCAGTACTTCAGGGGCCAACCATGAGGTCCCATGAGTTTGAACAGGTTCCTGCATTAAGTAACATCATCTGTTTGTAAAAATAAAAAAGCATTGCCTTTGTTTTGTACCATGTGATGAAATATTAAATGCTCTGAAAGACATTAAGTTAAATATTAATTTATTAAATATTTAAAGAAAATCATTATCTGGTTCACTGATGTAACTATTCCACGATGTTTTAACCAAACAATTTTAAATTTGGGCTGAATAAATTATAAAAATAATTGAAAATGTTGGTAATTAAGAACGAGTTAGCAATTCAGGAAACTATTTTCCGCCTTGTTATAAAAAAGCATAAATTTTTTATAGGTTCCCACAGCTGTTTCCGATTTTATATGTTTGTGCTTAATCTACGTTATTTTTGGTTTCTTTCCATTTAGTGAGTCACAAAGCATGAATCAAATGCATAAAGACCAAACTAGTTTTCATGACTGTATCAAAACATCAAAATCAAAATATTTGTTTCACAAAAGAGGTGGACAGACATTCCCTAATCATGCTGAAAGAAACTGTAGTCATTTGAGTTTTGCTTGCACAAAACTATTCTGAGGGCAGAACGAAAACGATGACCAATCAGGTTGTAGAGGTTTGTGGGTCCTAGAAACTAGAGGAGGTGCGACCAAGACATCCGTTTGGTTGGACCCACCTCCTCTACAATCTGATTGGTTATCTCTCTCAACCAATAATTTTTCCTTCCGCCCTCAGAATACTTTGTGTACGTAAAACTCCCACGTGCATAATGCACATTCTTAGTTCTGAGTTCTGGCAATCTGGCATGGCATTAGCTGCTTGCATAGCGATTACATTTCATATGTCGGGTTACTTAACATCACAGCCTGGTCATGCTTGTGTTGTATCGACATGGATATTTTAACAATCATGACAGCAGTATTACGACGTGCTGTCAGATACAGGTTCCTCTGTCTGTTTAAAGCACATGTGGCTGACTGACGTGTGAAGTGACAAATGTTGGAATGGAAGGGGCAAGATGTTGGACTGAGAGTTGGTCTTCCTGGAGCTCTCTGCTAAACCTCCCATATAGTGACTGACTAGGCCAGATCACTGGGCAAACGGTCTTAATGTCTAAGCAGGAGTGAAATTCTAAACAGGCTTGGGGCCTGACCATGACCTGCGGACCCAACAGTCCCGTCTCTTCATGTTGTATAGCGCCCTTCCCAATATTATTGCCCCACAGTGGAGATCGACTCGCATTTACTCTAATTGTTCATTCCGGTGCTGATTGAATGATGATATAAAGTATGAGTGGCTCGATTGATGTAGCTCACAGGTAACTATAGCAACAGATGGATGTACGTGGCCTGCTGGAAAGCATTGTTCTATTCATTCCCCCCCGAAGCGCTTATCCAGTGCAGGATGGTGGCGTGTCTGCAGCCTGTCCCAGGGTATGGGTGGTGGGGGGGGGGGNGAGATGGACATCTGCCCGGGAAGCTGGAAGCGCATCGTGCTGGGGGCCATACTGCTGGCCTCCAAAGTGTGGGACGACCAGGCCGTGTGGAACGTAGACTACTGCCAGATCCTGAAGGACATCACCGTGGAGGACATGTGGGTCCCCCCCCCCCAACCCTAACCCTAACCCTAACCCCAACCCTAACCCCATGAAGCTCGGCTGAAGGAGATCACTCCACAGACCCCTCATTGGATAACGTTCCGTCGCCGTGACGTTTTCCAACTCTGGGTTACCGTGATTTTCACCACATAAGGGCACGCCGGTGTTTATCCGGTGTCCGCAGCTGGTGTAGGTCACATGACTCTCGGTTCAGCAGGACCGGATCTTTTCTGTCATCATCCCTCATTTTCTCCTATATTTGTTGATTATTTGATAGGAAGAGATACATTCTGCTTTAATAACAAAAACGTCAAAAGAAAAAGTTAAACATGATTCAAATTAGGAATCTGGCTTTACTCTGTGTCATGGAGACAGGTGTGTCTTAAAATGGCGCGATATTGGAATTCACACCTCACCGAAATATCGGGCCGATCCAGTCCAGCGTGCGAGCTTGGGAGACGTGCCACATGATCAAACTCGTTTCCGGGGGGGGGGGGGGGGGGGGGGGGGGCGTGTACACTGCAGGCGCAAAGCTCAGGCAGGGAGGAGACTCTCTCCTGGGGGGTCCCCCACTGAGCCACTATGCCAACCATGGAGGAAGATGTACAGTATATTATTTATGTTCAGATTATAAACTCTGTCTAACAGTCTTACATTGCCAGTGTCGGGCTGTAATTGTGCACTGGATTCTACCTCTGAATAGTTTTCTTTTAAGAATTTTTTTAATGAATTGCGTTTTGGTGAGGGGGGGTGGAAGGGTGGGGGGGGGGGCTGTTTAACTGTTGGTTGTGTTGGTTCTTTCCTGTGTCAATGAGACTGCTGTACATGTAAATTCTATAGTTTATTATAATAATTTTTGTTAATTTTTATATGATTACCTTGATTGCTGATGCAGCTGGGATATGTTCATCTTGCCAAACACAGTTCAACAGCTTTTGGGTCATTGTTTCTGTTGAATGGACTTTGGTTCCAGTTACATTCTCTCTCAGACTCGGAGTGCATGTCCCGTCAACTTTACCGATCGTCCCACAAAACAATGTTCACAAACATACAGAAGAAATAAACATTTTAAACAACAAACGGAGCTTTTCTTATTGAATAACTGACTATGTACAGTGACCTGTATTTCTGTCTGTTCTTTTTCTCTTCCGTTTCCACTCGCAAACGCATGTCTTCTGCGGGAAGCGTCCTGTCCTGTTTCACGTGCCGTGTCGCGTTTCGGAACATCACGTAACCGAAGAACAAGCGGATCGTTTCGTCGGAGGCGTCTCTCATGGCTAACAGAGATTTAACAGATCTGTGGTTAGGGGGAAAGAATGCTAAATGACGTTTTAATAAAATATTTTCCAAATTTTGCACAGGTGTTGTGGCATTTGTGTTTCAACTTAAAGTCAGTTTTATTCTGACTTCAACCCAGCCCCCCCCCCCGACATCGTCTATAGTCTGACTGCAGCTTCACTCCTCATTATGAGCATGAAGCCACTTAATGATTTGTAGAGGTGGGTAGTTCAGGTCCAGAGTGAAAATCCAAACCAAGGTTTTGTCTCAACCAACCAGTTGAATACTCTGCGACTGCGACTCTTTATACTTAACTCGGGGGTGGCCAGTCTTATCTGTAGAGGGCCGGTGTGTATGCGGGTTTTCGCTGGAGCTCCCTAATTAGATTACTAATTAGAGGACTGATTGGCTGAAGAGTCCTCACACCTGGGTTTGAACAGCTGACCTACAGGTTATCCCAAAAACCTGCGTACACACCGGCCCTTTGTGGATAAGATTCACCACCGCTGACTTAACTGGTTGGTTGAAACAGTCTTTCTCTGGACTCTCTGGACCTGGAAAACCCACCTCTGATGATTCGTCACTAAGGTAGTGGCTCTCAACCCCCCCCCTCCCCCAGAATGTTTTCATTCTAACCCCCACTGTTTTCAACCTGTATTAGAATACAGGCAGCAGCCCCCGCCTTTGAGGACCCCCACTATTGTACATAATTAATCCAAACACCAGGTAATACTTCTTATACACCATTATTCCTCAATGTACTTGTTTATCCTGCAAGTGACTTGGACAAAAGATTTTTTTTGGAAGCATCCAAGTGATGAAGCTACAGGTCGGGGCTGGTCCCCACCTGGCACAGATGGCGGTAGCGGGGGTGAGAGGATGCCAACTCAAACATCCCAGCAATGCCAAGGCAACCTGCATGTTCCCTGTCACCGCCGCCCCAGGCAAGAATAGCACACAATGAAGCTCCCACCTCCTGCTGATGTCTGTTGTCTGACAACAGTTGTTCCTCGAGGAAGGTGGGGGCTGCTCTGCTCACACCGGGGCAGGGGGGCCGGGCTGTCTGGTGCTGGACTGTCGCCCCATACGTGAGCACAGGTCCGGCGTCTCCGAGTCGACGTGGGTGTCCTCCTGGTTCCCCTGTCTTGGTGAGGAAGTGCGTCACAGCGATGGGGAGGTGGAACGCGGTGGAGGTGGTCTTCATCGCGCTGAATCGCAACGTCTCCCTGGCAGGTGGGTGTCGCGTGTGGCCTCGTCTTTACTGCTGCGTTACTCTAATCCGTCAGCTAACCTTACTCCAGAACTGCATGCTACGCTCTATCAGTACTTCAGAATACAGTACTTCTATCAGAGCGTGAGGTCGCATGACTAGAAAAAGATCAACTGCCAAAAAGATCAACATTTCATTGTTTAGCAAACACTTTGATACAGAGAAATGGACATTTTCATAGATATTGCCAGCTTGATTCAATAGGAGGACACTTTCGGGGCCAGTTACTCTAACATACGAGTCCGAGGCCCTCACTGCTGACCTGATAGAATCTGTTAGCTGCTTCATTGGTTACTATGTGCTGTGTAGGATCTGAACATGATGCGGTCTTCAGTAATGCATATACTGCCCTACAAAAGCAAAAAACACAAAGTACTCTGACCCTGAAACTTCAAAGCTTTTTGATTGTCCACCAGTATGTCTAGTAGGTAGGTAAATGAAAGGGGGTTTTGTGCTTTTTTCCCCCAAACTGACCATAGTTGAACTAAGATATTTTGTCACAAGATAAAACAGGCCAAGAGACTGGATTTCGGTTAGAACAAAAATGTTGACAAAATATGCAGTTACTGCATCTCGCCTTTGTGGGGCAGTATAACCCTAACGGACTGACTTGACTGAAACACTGAGCTCTCCAGACCTATAAAAATGCTCAGCACTGTTAGATAAGCAGCCATGATGAAACAGTCATGTCACATCCCAGCCCTGCAGCTGAATGCTCACGTGCTCCATGTGCTGTAATGTGTTGTGGTCGGCTTGCAGGTAAGATCTGGCTGATGGTGACGCTCCTGCTGAGGGTCCTGACTCTGCTACTCACCGGCTTCCCGCTGTACGAGGACGAGCGCGAGAGCTTCGCCTGTAACACCATCCAGCCTGGCTGCTCCAGCGCCTGCTACGACGCCTTCGCCCCCCTCTCCCTAATCCGCTTCTGGCTGCTGCAAGCCCTCGCGCTCTGCCTGCCCTACGCCCTGTACGTGGTCTTCGTCATTCACAGGGTGGTGTCAAGCCTGGCTTCCGCAAACATCGCTCCGGGGGAAGACGGGGGCCCCCGGCCGTTCAGGGTCAATCGGGAGATCTTCCAGAAAGTCACGCCAGAGAATGGCGCCGCCCTGGTGGCGGGTGGAAGGAGGTGCCGTGCTCTCGCGCTGGCATACACCATCCACGTGTCGACCCGGATCGCCCTGGAAGCGGCCTTTGGTGTGGGCCACTATTTCCTGTTCGGTCTCTCCATCCCGAAAAGCTTCCTGTGCTACGAGGGCCCCTGCACCTCCATGGTGGAGTGCTACGTCTCCAAGCCCACGGAGAAGACCGTGATGCTGAACTTCATGCTGGCCGTCAGCGCGCTGTGCCTCCTCGTGAACGCCGCCGACCTCACCGGCGCCATCGGGTGGTTGGTGAGCCTCCGGCGCCGGGCTGAGACGGTCGTCGGCTCGGAGGACAGAGCCTCCTTGTGCCTAGAGGACGTCGACACCGCGCCCATCTCCCGGAATTTGCCCAGCCTGGCCAACAGCGACATCCAGCAAGACATCCAGGTCTTGGGAGAAGACGGGGCAGAGCGAGACAGCAGCACTGTCAGACTCTGTTCCAGGAACCACGTCGAGTCCCCGCCTCTACAAAGCGCCTGCTCTCCACACCTGGGGTCCCCGCTGCCCCTGAAACCAACAAGTGATCTACCAGGGGGAGCCGACAGCTCCAGGCTGCTCCATGGCAACCGGAGGGATGACCCGAAGTCGGAGAACAGTGAGAAACCTGGGAGAAGAGCCTGGGTTTGAGGTAGAGTAGGAGCAGAACACAGTGTTCCAATGAAGATCCAGGACTTTGTTTACTCACCGTGTGTTATCGGTAAACTGGAGTCACATTCACTTCCTATCTTAAAACAACAATGCAACATACTTTTTGTGGCCAGTGACCTTTACATGTCCGGAAAATGGGTTGTGACGCCACCTACAGTTCGTTTGTGACCTGCGTCATGATTAAGAGAGTAAATTCTTAAGAGGTTCCCAAATTCACGTTCCCAAGAGTAAAGCTAGCCCAGAAACGCTGTTTAACCACATCCTGCTGTGTAAAATGGAAGAGCTACAAGCTCTGAGAGTGACTTTGAATAGCTGTAAGGTTCCCTAAGGCTGAAGAAGTGTGTTGGCTGGAGCTCGTGGTTACGTTCCCCATCCATCTACCACCAAACAGTATCAGTTACACACACATTCTTTCTGCTTTCCCAAAATACTCATCAAATGAGTTGTCTCAGGTGATAACACCCTATGCTGATGACACCATGGAGGTATTTTCAAGGATCAAACACACTGACTATACCCAGACCAAGGGCACCAAAAACAGCCCAATTTGGGGCACGGACGCCAGCGGTGCCCAATGATACGAGAGTGTCATCCCGCAAGTGCAGAGAGCTGGCATTTACAAAACAGGTTTTTGTGTCATTAAAACCCAGCAGATGCAGTGTCAAAGGCTGAACCCAGCATACACGTTAAAACACGTAGTAATTAAATTTCACTACGCCATGCTGATCAGTATGTCTGTTAATTCAAATATGGCTGCAAGTGCTTTAAGGAGTGCTTTTTTTCCAGTTGCAAACAAATTTTGGACCTTCTTCTCGCTGAAGTACTTTTGGTTTCCGCTGGAATCCATTACAAAATTGCTGGAATTTGCTATGACTTCGCCCTTTTATTTCAGCACTAAATGACAGTGCCGAATTTCCACTCCCAAAGACGCAGTCAGACGTGTTGTGGAAATTAATTTAACCCAAGTACGGCAAAGTAACAAAATTACGTGGACGTCCACTGAGCAGAACGCACTATACAGCTTTATATTGCTTTTACAAACGTAAACGTTACCAGCCCATGTCGCGCCTACCTATTTGTCGCAGGCCCTATCAGTTTTATTGCAACCCCCATATTAAAGTTTAGTTACCTTTGTGATACCTGCTGCTCTGCTTAATAATAATGCGCCGTTTGTAAACAACGCGAATATTCCAACTCAACATTTTGTATTTCGTTTAAGTATTTTACAAAATAAATCATTGTTAAAAATCGAGTGCTCATGGTTTTTATTTTTTTATTTTTTTTACTGTGACGCGGACTCCTGACCGAAAGTTGCATAGACCTCGCCGTTTGCTCATTGCATGACCGGTAATTCATTCTCATTCACATCCCTATAGTGGTGATTAAACATCCCGTAGAGAGTACGTGCCAAATGAGGATATGTCCCCACCACGCGATTATGTGCAGTGACAGCACAGATTCATTTCTTGAATTTGCCGTTTTCACAGTAGTTATCCAGCTGTCCTGAAAATGAACGGGTTTTAGGATGCACGATCCGAGGAAGCCATTCCTGTTCAGGATAGTGGAAATCACCCTCAAGTTCAGTTCTGCAAAACTTAAAAACCGAAGAGCATACTACTTACAGGAAATCTTCCCCACTTTCATAAATGGCGAACATCTATCCCATTCTCTCCTTAATGTCAATTTCTCTGTTTTAAATAGTATAAATCCTATAAAAGATGCGTCCCAAGAATAAACAATTCAAAAGTCACAGACAGACTCAGAAACGACAAGAGTTGCAGTAGTCGGTATCTTTCACTGGTATTTCATAGTTTACAATAAAATAAATTTATGAACTAGAGACCTAGATGTTGAGATTATGACGTATGCAGCGTTTCATGTATGTATTGTGGGGTTTCGCTTGCTACTACGTAAGTACGATGCTACTACGTAAGTTGATCCCCCCCCAAAAGCAATATCACGTGTGTGTTTGGGTAAATGTTCACCAAACATTTTATGCACAATTAGTGGCAATATCCTCCATTGCCGCTAGGTGGCAGTATGACTGCGGGCATGATTCCTTTCTCTTAAAATTTTCGTTCAGATTAAACTTTAGTGAAGACGAAAACCAGTATGATTCATATGATAAAAAAACAGCTTAGTTTGTACAGTATAAAATTTCCACTACGATGCCCAGTTCGTTTGACCGCTATGTTGAGTCAATCGGCTAATAGGGTCCAACCTAAGCAAACGCGACATTTGACTCTATACATTTAGGCCTATTTGTATATTAAACTGATCAATACCAATTAACTGGAGGTAGAAGAGTCAATATCCTTGCAACGATGTCTTAATTACAAACACTTTGCCAAATTATGTCCGACCGATTGAACATTTTAACGCAAACACCTGGGAACTTAAAGTTTTGCGCGACATGAGCGCCACAATATCAGCACATTACCGAATTATCTGGATTCTTACGGATTACAAAAAATTACTAACACGTTAAATTTAACCCCCACATTTTATGAGAACCTTAAATTGGCCGGAAATGATCAATTTCATGAACCTTAAAACGTGGAAGGAAAAAAAACAGTTTTAAAATCAACGGCCAACAGTACAGCTTTCTCCCCTTTAGTAGATAATCAATAACATACATTGCCCCTAAGGACGCTGCGACTCCGCATTGTAGTAAACAGCATTTAAAACTGGAACGATCAAAACTGATAGGCCTACATGCATTTAGTCAGCACCTTAGATAGGCCGTCCACGCAGAAAGGACTTTCTTTTGTACACACTCACACCTTAAAGATGAGTATATTTTATTGGTCCTAAAAATCCTTTTATGACATGGATGGGCGATTAGAAAAAAGTGGGCCACGTCTGTGGGACTTTAAATGGCATCACAATATTCTGACCATTCCCTATAGTTTCCACAAAAACCATAAATGCCACCGACTCTCACCCTTCTCAGATCGCAAAGTGCGGTTTTTCGTGGAAAGAACTACCTTAATTAAGCCTTTTCCCTCAACAGGCAAACTGTTCAGAATTACGTTAGTTGCTTTTGTGAAAGGGCAAGGCATTAAAGGAGTTTGTATTTCGAGACATCGAACAAGTACAAGGGGCCCATAAGTTATAGACATGATTGTTTAGCAAAAATCCCGGTAATTGTTCTACGCATAGTAATGACATAAAACTGAAGTCATAGTGTGCCTTTTATTCTCAAAATAAAATGTTTTCTTAGCAAAAGGTTTATACAAATGTACAGTTATTTTCCATATTCACACAATGTACAAATTTTATACATAACCCGTATAAATACATCTGGAATTAAACCCGTATAAGACATTAAGGCCGGCTTGAATCTTTCACGTTGAGAGCAGTCAGTCAGACCGTCTGCGTAAATAAGTGTGCGCATTTGTCCAAAATCTAGCGCATCCTCCAAGAAAAAAATGACACCAAACTTTTGGTGCAATAAAACACACTTTGTGTTTTGAAAGTCTGTGCCTGTTGCTCTCGTCAAACCCGAGATAAGGGCATCTGTTTGGGAAAGGACACGGAGCTGGCGGTGCCCGAGCGCCAAGTCAGTCCCGTACTAACATCGCTGTACATGGAGCCGCCGGCGCCTTTACTCCCCCAGCAGCAGCCGGTGCAGAAACTGCGCCAGGATTCCACCGTCTTCCCGGACCAGACCCAGGCCCCCGACGTGATTCCCACCAGCAGGCACATGAAATACTTGAGCATGAAGACAGCGTAGTGCGGCTTCTGCTCCGGCAGGCAGGAGCAGTTGTGGCTGATCTCCCAGCTCAGGCGGTTGTGCTGCTCGTAAAAGTAACATGCAACTATAACAGTGGCCGGGACGGTGTAAAGCACCGTGAAAACCCCGATCCGGATCATCAGCTTCTCCAGCTTGTCCGTTTTCGTTCCTCCCTGTTTAATAACGCTCCGGATTCTAAACAGAGACACAAATCCTGCCAACAGGAACATCGTTCCGATAAATAAATATATAACCAGCGGCGCCAGGACGAAGCCCCTTAAGTTATCCAAGTTTTGATTGCCTACATAACAGACACCGGCCACCGGGTCCCCGTCCACTGAGCTCAGGGCCAGAACAGCGATGGACTTCATGCTCGGGATGAGCCAGGCAGCGAGGTGGAAATATTGGGAGTATCCGGCGATGGCCTCGTTGCCCCACTTCATGCCGGCGGCCAGGAACCAAGTGAGGGACAGGATAACCCACCAGATCGAGCTGGCCATTCCGAAGAAATAGATCAGCAGAAAGACGACGGTGCAGAGTGCGGGGCCGGTGCTCTCGTAGAGGATGTGCTCCAAGTCACCGTCCCGGTCGCAGGCCACTCGGTCGTGGCCGGCAATCAGCCGCACGATGTATCCGACGGACACAAACATGTAACAAGCGGACAGGAAGATGATGGGTCTCTCCGGGTACTTGAAGCGCTCCATGTCGATCAGGAAGGTAGCGACGGTCGCGAAGGTGGAAATGAAGCACAGTACCGACCACAATCCTATCCAGAACGCAGTGAAAGTTCTCTCCTCCTGGGTAAAATATGGGTTTTGGCAAGGCATTGCACAGTTGGGGATCCCCCCCGTCTTCACCCGGCTGTAAAGGGGGTGGCGATCGCTGCTCACCGGTACCATAGGCGCGCGGCACTGGCACCCCGGCTCGCAGACTGACACCGGACCCTTTAGCTTATCTCCGGGGCGACCTGGTCCGTGCTTGTTTTTGCGGGGGTTAAGCGGCCTCGCCGGATAGTTGGTCGGTTTCGACGCGACCGGCGACGCCGTGGTGCTCTCGCTCCGGTTGTAGTCCATGCACAACTTGTCCGGATTGCCCTGAACTGGCAGCAGGTCGCACCTCATCCTGTCCGGCCAGGGGAAGCCGTACTGCCTCATGAGCGGCGCGCACCCCGCCCGGGCTCGTTCACACACGCTTCTGCAAGGCGGCAGCGGCTTTTTGTAGTCCTCCAAACAAATCGGCGTATACATGCTACAGAGGAAGAACTTCAGGTCCGGAGAGCACTGGATTTCCACCAGAGGCCAGAACTGGTGCACTTCCAGACCGGCTTCATCTTGCGTGTCGTGATTAAACTGGTTGGGCATGTAAGTGTAGTTGTAACCGATCCCTTTGCACAGGGGCACAGATATTTCTTGGCAAGTTATCTCCTTCGCTGCGGTCCAAATCGATCTTTGTAAAATGACCAGCACAAGAAGCAGGTAGATCCCAAATAGGTAATACCCCATACTTTAAACGCTTTATATGATCTCCAGTCCGCTGATTAAATGACGGTAAAGCGTCAACCGGCTCCCTTCACGCTTCGCCTCGCAAACGCATCTCTCTCCGGCTCGGATCTGCGAGCAGTTTACTCACGGCGTGTAGTTTGTTGCAGGGCAGCCTAACAAAACCGCGACCTCCAGACGTGTAGTCAAAATGGCTGAGGACTCCGAGCTGGGATCATCTTCTGGCCGGCTTGGCGATCGGGTGCCTCTGCGCGCATCAGCTTCGACTGTGTCTTACCAGCCCTATTCACCCGTCCACAGCATGCGTTACACTGGAGGAGGACGGTAGTTTGCATATTTATAGCAGAGGCGGCGATGGCACCCCCCCCCTTCCCGGCGCACTGGAGCGGAGAGGCGTGGTGCCCAACTCGAACCAAGTGTTTCAGGAAGGTGTTTCCTCTGGCTTTGTTTGTTTTCTGGCTATTCGCTAATCTTTAACTAATTAAGTTAAACGTTTTGCAGTGTTAAAAATTATCGACGAACCACGGGGGTCCTTGGGCACCCTCAGAAATATTATCACCAATTAAATTTTTTTTGGATACTATCGGTTCTTAAAGTATGCAAGTCACTGTTTACAAGCGAGATTAAAATACTTTACGCGTAAATACTAACTGCAGAATTTAGAGACTAAATGCTCCTTTTTTAACAATCGGGAGGAGGGAGACCCCCAACTCCCCGGTATTTTTTTTTTTGTGTTTAGCACATGGTGGGGGGGTTGTGTGCGCCTAAGAATGGCCTGTTTGTTTTAATTGAGGTGCTGATGATCCATTTAACGCGGGGTATTGGGATTCACGTAGGGGGGGTAATTACTGCAGTGCATAAACAAGAAGTTTGTTAAAAAAAAAAAAAGAAAGAAAGAAACGCCCCCGCCTTTAAAAATATTTCATTCAGTACAACAGGATGTGTATGAAGACAAATGACAAAAGTCGTGTCGCTGTTTTGCTTGTTCGGGGAGTGACAGCGAGCGGCCAGTTAAGTCTGTTGTCTCCTAGTAGCGAGATTGAGTGGATTTTTAATACCCGTTTACTTGGGATACCGGGAAAAAAGCCTTTAAGAATTTTAGATAGAGATGTTATTTCTGAGCCCTAATCAATAACTAGGCTACAAAGATACTGGGACTGGCTTACATCCTCAGTCACACACAAGCGCACGTATTTAAACAAAATAATATTTATTTACTGGCCCATTGCTGCAGAGCTACATACACAACAGGGGTCGTTTGATACACACCCCTCCCCCCCGCCGCCACACACACACACACACACACACACACCCACCAACCCGCCTACAACTCCCAATTCTCAGGTGGAAAAGCGAACAGGTGTCCGGTCACTGGGCCACGGGCAAACAGACAGACGTCCAGCGCTCCGCCAGTAAGCATATTGATTAAGGGACTGATACGTCTCTTCTCCGGTCGCCAGCTGTCCTCGTGGCTGGGATATCCTGGAGTCGGGTTGCATGCTGCCCCGACATTCCCGCTCCGAAAGGACGCTAATGGAATTACGGCATCTGTGCAAAAATCTGCTCCCATATACTACACCCCCACCCCCCTGGGTGTCCGACGTGTGAGACGTGTGTCGGTTTCAGTTATCGGCTCTCCAAACCAGAACATGTCAGACGCTACTTCTTAAAAAACATCTTATTAATGCTTAATGCCCTCTATTAGAGAATAATATAATTTATAGCTGCCTGTTTAAGACTACAGCTCCTGGTCAATGTGGTAAATGCCACTTTTAATTAATCGTTCATTTAAAAAGTTCTTTTAATGACGAATCCCAGGGTTACTGGAGACTACCAGGCAGGTCTTTCCTGACGTTTGCAGTCTGTTGCACTCCTGCTTTTGGCTGTAGTGTTGGGGGGGGGGGCAGGTTTGTGGCTGGTGGTCTCTGCAGGTACCCTAATAAAGGCCATCGCAGTGCAGGACACAAGAGGTGGACTGAAACAAGAGAAGCCCCCCCCTCCCCCTCATCGGGGGCCCCCACCCGCTCCATCTGTACTGCTGAATTTTAAACCTACGGCATTTATGCTCCTTGCCCACCCCCATGGCACCTGATGATCTACCAGAAGGTCCACTAACAGAGTATGAACCGCTGTATTATAATAGCAGAAAAACACCCAGAATTCAACAGGATACAGCAGCAGTGACAGTTACACGTTCACAGCCAGAAGAGAATAACCTCATAATATTATCGTCGATATGTCTGTTTTTACGTGTAGTTTAAGCCAGGGGAGTTTCTAGCTATTGACAATAATCACAGGCTAAGTCAAGTTTTGGCATCGGAGCTAAAATACTCGGGGCTAAAGCCCCAAGTGATCGGACCTAAGGACGCCCATGGTTCAGGCTACATTAATTCCCTTAATCAGGAATCATCATCAGATCATGTTTAGGCAAGTCTTTTCTGTTTGTTGTATTACAACATAATAATAAGAACAATATTCTTTCAAAATGGGTTGTATCTTGAGAAATACCTGCATGAAATAGCAAACTAGCCTTAACCCCCCCCCAGTGTGAAACGGTATGTGTATTGAGGTCAGAGTAATTAGGCCTGATTTATAACCAGAGATAAGGCCAGGTGTCATATCAGGATGTTTACCTTCAGCTTGCTCCGCAGCGGCGGACACGCCCTTAATCGCGGCAGGAATGCGGCCCCCCGCACACCTGCCCTGCAGTTCCCACAGGTGCCGTAGTGTGGGACGCGTAGCCGTTTGATATCAAGTATCGATTATTAAGTAACGTGCAGCCGGAAACTCCTGCAGCTATAAATATAATCATTTTCTGAAAACGACACAGAAGACTGAACAGGACCTCTAAAGGTTATACAAATATGGTGAATCTATAGAAGTTCTTACGGCTTCCTGTACTTGCATTCCTGGGTGCTCCTAGAGATTTTGGGCCCCATGAAAGTGTGTCATTTCGGGCCCCAAACCCAGACCAATCCAATTATGTTTGAAAATTTTTAAGGCCCCTGTCAGCCAGGGGCCCTTGGAATCTTCCTAACTGCCCCCCCCCCCTTCCGGTGCCCCTGCTTATATTACAGTAGGAGAATGTTGCAGTGTCATGGAACTGGCTGTCTGATGGTCAATAACCTCTGAGAAATTGTCACTTGTCACCCCTCTATTATATATTATTGTTTACATACTCTCTCTTCATAATTAAATGTATTTTCTTAAGTTTAACTACTTTTATATGTATTTTGTTTACTTTTATATATAGTTTACTTGTTTATATGTTTACTCAGGGTTTGTGATTGGGGAGTCAGTAACATAATGTTGGTTATTGTAACACATTGTCAATAAAAATTTCAAACCTCTCACTTCTGAGGATTTTCCTATTCATATTTTTTAATTCCAATCCTATTGCACCTCCAATTGGAGTTCATACTCTATATTGCACCTCTATTTGGAGTTCATACTCTATATTGCACCTCTATTTGGAGTTCATACTCTATATTGCACCTCTATTTGGA